CAGGGTTTGTGAATGTGAGGCTGTTTGCTGTCTGCTTGTAGGGGGTCTCATCCACTCACTCATCCTGGCCAGGTGGCCTGCAGCAAACCCCTACTATAGTATCCCCTCTCCCTGCCCTCCCTTTAATCCTGACCCATAAGCTCTTGGTCAGCTCCTCATCCATCCCCAGGTGGAGTTCCACACATGCCATCTGGTCTCTGACATAGAGAGCAACTCCCCTCCACATCTCCCCTGCCTGTCCTTCCTAAAGAGCCTGTATTCTTCTATTCTGACACTCCAGTCGTAGGAGCCGTCCCACCACGTCTCCATAATGCTATTGAGATCACATCCCCTCACTCACGCTCATGCCTCCAGCATGAGCATCTCTTGCTTATTCCCCATGCTCCGTGCGTTCACATAGAGGCATTTAGGGTGGGCCCCTGATGAAGCTGGGTTGTGGACTGGAGCATCTATAATTCGCCTGTTTTGCCTGCCAGGTGTTTTCTTGGTGGGCAGTGATTCTTCCCCAGGCTCTGGGCATCTCTTGGCATCCCTACTGGTTTTGCTCCTTTCCCCCTTCTAACCTAGTTTAAAGCCCTATCGATGAGCCCTGCCAATTGATCTGTCTTGCTCTGTCCCTTTAATTCATGGCAAGTGTGATAGAGGAATGGGGCAGATCGGAATAGCTGCAAATTACTCATCGTTCTTCCTTTCTTTCTTTGTCTTTTCGAAATATTGCGCCTCTTTGGGCACCTGCATGGAGGATGGGACACCACGTTTGCTATTCAAGGAAGAGACACTGGTAAAACACAAGGATGTGGGATATCTTAGATTTAAGAGACTGGAGCAGTTAAAGCTGTCTTGTGCCTGCCTGTCTGCTGCTGTAACTAGGAGTGTCAATGCAAGAGGTAATGGGTGCTTAAATAATTACCTATGAGAAGATTTTTGTGTTCCAGGAACCACGGTGTTTCATTGTGCTTGAGCAGGTTATGGCCAACTAGCATCAGTATGCAGCTATACAGATTTTTGTATGTTTTTTTATAGTGTCACACACATATGTGTCACTTTCCTATGACAGGGTTTTGCAGGCTGTCTTGGGGGAGAGATAAACTTGTATAAACAAAACTTTTGCCTGTAGATTTGTTACAAGTTTCTAATTCCTACCTCTCCCCTGAAATACATGACAGGTTAAGTTCTAACTTCCTTCTTTTCTGCTCAGTACAATATGAATCATAAACTTAATTTGTCAGTCCATAGAGTCTTTATTGCTGTTCTGATGGACAAGAGGTGAGAAAAGGGGAAGAGATGAAGATGCTGTATGTGGAGTATTGGACACGTGTGTGTTCATCGCAGCCTCTTTAGAGGGTGAGACCATTTTCTGCTGCTGGAGATCTTGCTTTAAAATGTACTTGGCCAGTAACAGGAATATACACTGCTTTAGTACAAGCTGATGTTTCATAGGTTACAGTGGAAATAATGTAAAAAGCCTAAAGGTGTTGTTGTTCTAATTGTTGTTGCACCTAATTGTTCTTGGTATAATGACATATATATAGAAGGAGGTGGGCAGCTTCATTCTTCACGTTCATGCTTGAAGGTTCTAGCTAAGGATTTAGGTTTGCTGGATAACAAACTTCCCTGTGCCCTGTAATTCAGGAATAGACTTCATATTTATAGCCATCCATTCCTCATGTCCTTCCGACAATCTGACCTGCTTTCTCTCTCTTTAGTGCATGGCTGATTTTAGTGCTCCTCGCTTCTGGCGAGAGACGTGGGGAGGATCCTGCTGTCCCTGCTGGAGCCACGCGTGGGCGAGCAGCGGAGGGTGGGAAGGCGGCTTGCTCGCTTGCTTAAAAAATAAGTTGGGACTGCCTTCTTTCAAATTTGTTCTTTTTAATGGGTGTCATGAGGCTATAGATGAACTTAGATCTGTTAGATTTTTGTCTGTGTATAAAGAACAGTTCTTGTTTCACAAGTTGGCTGTACCTCAATTATTGAGATTTTTATACATAAATTTGTACATTTCCCTGAGGGATTGTTCAACTGTGGCAGGTGCAGTTAAAACAAAACCCCGTTAAGATCACCTCAGTCTTTTTTTTTTGCTGCTGTGTTAGATGTATAAGCATTTTTACATCTCAGGCTGTAGCGATTTCAGCATATTTTTGAAGTGTTGAAATACGCATTTAGTGGAGATTATGAAAACTTCAAACCTTTACGCCTAGTGCTGCAGTTTGCACCAGAAAGAGTGGGTGGTTACTTCCCAGTTGCGTGTGTTTTATGCCAAGAGACAGTCTGTATTGACCTTCTACTGCCAAGTCATAAATGCATAAAATCTGTGTTGCTAATGGAAACAGTGACAAGCCTTGAACTGCAGCGGACTGGCATAATAAAAATATTAAAATTTCCAGCTGCAGTTAATGTCAGATTTCCATTTTGTTTTTGCTGGCTGGCAGCTGGTGGTGGCCTCATAGCTAAACAAGCTGAAGAGTCCTGGAGGTTTTTTTGTTGGGATTGTCACAGCACAGACTCTCTCTGTTAGTTTGGATAGATGGGGCTGACTTAAACAGTGAACACAAAAAAGCCTTACTTGTTGTGAAGCCAGTGAATAGGAGTCTTGGGCACGTTCAGGTCAGATATCGTGATACCCGGGTCATTTTATGTTTGGTTCAGATATAGGGATGAGACCTGTGGGCAGTGTCATTTGCTAACCACTGAAGGTCAGGCCCAGCTGTTGGGGCAGAGATGGAGAAATTGCAGACTCGGTTAGTCATAGCAATGGTTCTCAGGATGAAATCGCTGGTGGTGGTGATGGGGTATGTATGTCAGGGGATCCTGACATGTGCTTTTCAGAGCAGTTTCCTACTGCTAGGATTGATGCAAGATACAGGTTTGTGGTGTAGTGTTGCTGTGGGGGTGGAGATGAGGGATTCCTGGATTTGTTTTAATTCTATTTGGTTTTAATGTGGTTTTTACTGCCCCAGGTAAGGCTAATTAATGCTGCAGTTCTTTAACAAGAAGAAAAAAGAAACACAGTGCTTGCTTTACAGAGGTGTTGTAAAGGTTAGTAGGTTGACTATGGCAAAATCAGTTGTTGGCTTATCCATGCACTGCTTATGAACGCTTCTCCTGTAGTCTGTAAAAACTACATTTATCACTAGCTGCTGTAGCAGTAGACTCTTGTGTGGTTATTTTTCCTCTCCTTGTTGCAGAGCACCTTCACGTGAGGAAGCTGGTCACAGTGTGCGTTCTGATACATGAAGTGAAATGCCACTGTCGACTGATTCAAGCCTGGCTTCTATCAGTCCTTCCCCACATCTGTTCATGGCAGATCTTTTCTGATCAATTTGCAGCTCTCTGCTCCTGTTTCTCTGGTTGCCATCTTGTTCTTTTCCTTGCATCCTCTGTCCTTTTATGTGTCTTGGATTAGGAAGGTTTCTTTCACCTCTGTGTTGAAGTATTCAACTTAGTATCTTAGCTGCATTAGCAAGGTCTGGTGGAACCAGTATCTCCTAGTGTCCCATCTGGTTTCTGCTGATGCGGTTCTTCATCAATAAGTCTTCATCCTTTGAATCTGTCTGCAAGATTTTCTTCATGTAACTGTTGCTCACAGAATTATTTTGTATCTCTTACCTTTTCATCTAATTCCACTCTATTTTCTGTTATATTTGCAATTACTAGTCTTGTGTTAGATTTTGAGTTATTTCCTACCTGTCACCACTTTAATGGCTGACTAAAGCCAGACGAGATTGTTGCTTAAGCATTCCT